TTCATAGAACTCAATTCGTTTTCAAAAAGTTGATACACGCGGTGAGAACTGATCTTTTAAAATTGCACACAGCTGCATATAAGTTTTATATTTAGGCAAAGTTGGATTCGTTAAATCCCTAATTATTTTGTACGCATCTGAACCCATAACCGTTAACAATATTGACACTTTTCTATCTTCCTCGATATAATTTGATGTCAAGTACTGGTCCATCCGTTTTTCGTAAATTTGACAATATTCCCCAAGTTTGTATTCTGGTAATACATCAACGTGTGCATGCATCGTTACCTGCATGGCACCCCCTTGTCCGTTTGCTTCAACTTCGTTAGCCATGTTGTTTTCTTGTGACTGTTCCTATTCCACAATTCCCTTAATTTAGAAACAGGAACCTAAAAATACGCCCTTTATTGAACTCAACGAAAGCTTTAATTCAATATGGTTGCATTTAGATCAGAAAAAATCGTCCTTTCATTAACTTTGTATTTTCATGTTTCCCGATTCTTTAAGGTACACTCACTGCCTCTAAATAACAATTTGCTCAAAAACTCACTGTTCCATATAAATACGTCCAAAAGTCGATAAATTCACAAAAGCTTCAATAACGCTAATTCACATTTTGAAATTATATGATTGTTCGCGACCACGCTTTTGAAAACTCGTTAGATTTTTACTTTTTTTAGATTCTAGCTCCGTGCTAAATTTAACACTTTACATCTTGTATCCTCGTCGCCAATTGTTATACCTCTGACACAAAAATATAAAATAAAAGATATACGCTTTGTATGAATTTAATTAAATAATATTTATTATATGTTAATACATTCAAGATACGAACGAGATTGAAGCTCTGCTTATCATCTGCATTGTTCTCACATTTAGAACGCCAACTTATGGCTACTCACGATACCAGAGAGATAAAAGTATTTTAAAATCAATATTATTTAACGTTCAGAGCGATAATTAAAACTCTCTTCTTGACAAAGAATTTTAGATAACGTTCGACATCTTAATGCATAAATATAAAAATCGGACAAGTACGAGTTACACTTGCATTAAAACCGAGGGTTCCGTACCCTTAAACCTAAAATTTAAGGGGGTTAAACTGTGAAGGCCAATGGAAAAATTCCAATTTCGCTTCATTCTTCCTGTAATGTGAGCATGAAAACACAGATAGAAAATTATCAGTTTTTCCCTGAAAACGCTATGATAATCAACTCCAATAAAAGCCAAGTTATTTTTATTTAAACCTCTTTCTGGCGCACCGTGTATTGTAATGGGAAAAAATATAAATTTTGTATGGTGCGTAAGCAACTGAGACACCCCTCCCTCTTCCTTAGATGCCTGTTATTCGCTTTAAATTAAATTAGAAATTGAATATGATCTAAACTCATTTTACCACCATGCATGCGACCCTTACGCGTGCAACTCACATGTATCGCATATGAGAACGCATCTGTTCGGTCCTGTGAGAACACGCGTGCGAGATACATGTCTAACACTGTGAGCGCATTTTGCTATATAGGATGATCTTCAAGATTTTGGAAAAAACGAGTCCGTGTTGGTATTAAAGATAAAGTTGTGAAGAAGGAAAAAAAATAATATTATATAATGATATTATTAAAGTTATCTTAAAGTAAAAAAGAAATTTTTTTATTACCTAAAAGTACATGTGTAGAACTTTAATTAACAACTAAAAAATTTTGTTTATCATCAGCATTATGTGTGATGAGCCATCGAAGTGACGCCTGCGGGTAAAACATGAAGTCCGGTGACCAGAATTCCGCAAGTATAATTTATCTAAAATGCAAAAATTAAATTGATTTACATTTCTTATAAGATTGTCTAGTTTCCAATCGAAGGATTAAAAAAAATATACATATTTAACAAAATGTCGACCCTTCAACACACCTGTCTTAAATGAAGAAAAAGTTGGTCCCCGATGCCGAAAAAAAACTCTTATATATTTTGAATCTGTGGACACTAAATGAACAAAATTTCAAAGATTCAAAATCGTAACCGATCCTCCTGCATGACTTTTTATGTATTTATTGTTTTTTTTATGCATTATAATGAAAAATTGCTTCATTACGATGTGCAGATCAGTTGAAATTACTAGTGCAATTTTTTTATACTTATTAAATGTAAAAATAATAATAATACATAACTATAATTTTTGGGAATAAAGGTTGGATGATCAATATTGTAATTTTAAATCCGCACTGTCAACAGAAATAATAAGAGAGTATTTTCCCTAGAACACCGCAGATGCAAACATTAGATTTTCCAAATTTTCTATCACTTCTTATTGTTATTAATATACGCAACATTAGTTACTGCTATTGGAATTTGTTTTTGTATCGTGTAAGAAAATAAATGATAACAAGTTGGCTAAAATTAGTTAAAAGTTTTGTAGATGTAGTTGATTTATTTTTAATCTATTTAAAAATGACTTATTACTACAAGTTAAATCACGCCTGTTGTCATGATTGAAATATAAAAAAATTTGTGCCTTGTGTGGTAGAAAAATTTTTTGCAAAGACGGTAATTTAGAAACTTTTTTCATCACAGTAAAGCAAGTAAAGCTGATCAAAACTTATGAGAATAGAAATTTTTCTTTAAATAATTCAAAATTTTATATTTTTTATTATAATGCATAAAAAAACAATAAATACATAAAAATTCATGTAGGAGGATCGGTTACGATTTTGAATCTTTGAAATTTTGTTCATTTAGTGTTCAGAGATTCAAAATATATGAGTTTTTTTCGGCATCGGGGACCAACTTTTTCTTCGTTAAAGATAGGTGTGTCAAAGATAAGAGTATGATTTTTGTTGAAAAACAAAGTCGATTTTCAGCTCTAGAAAAAAAGTTTTGCATGCAAAAAGAAATTCTTTGATTGGGAATTAGATTTTTTTGTGTAAATGATGCATATTAAATTTCAAGTAAATCGGATTAATGGTTTTTTCAATTCTCCTTTTCCGAAGAGGAGGATAAATAAGGAACCCCTATTGTCATTGTCGCAATGTGTTTCTGCCGTCTGATCTGTTGCTGTCTAGCGCACGTCCGTATTGTGCTGTATAACTCATTCATTTTTTACTGTATCAACATAAAAATATATAGGCACACTTCATATTTACATTTGGTTTAAGAAAATTTAAACCAAAATAATCGATTTTTCGAAAGTTAAAACTGGTGTACCCCCCTCAATAACACAGGCACACAAAAAAAAGTTGTATGTTTCTTGAACTAAATACACTATTTTTATAGTATTTTGGCCCGCTGAAAACGAATATGAATCCAGAATTGCTCAATCACTTTCTGATTTTTTTTAAATTGAAAAAAACCACCCTTAACCGGACAAATTCAAACTAAGGAGATAAAAAAATTAAATAACAGATTTTTTAATAAAAAGAAACTTACACCTACGTATTTTTGCTATAATAACACAAAAAGAAAGACAGAACTGATCCAGAACCCTTTTGATTTTTTTTAATTGGAAAAAGCACCCTTAATCGGACAATTTAAACCTTAAGGGGTTAAAAAATTATATAACAGATTTTTTTAATAAACAGAACCTTACAAATTACCTTAGTTTTGCTCCACTAAATTAAAAATGAAACCAGAGCTCATCTTCCACCCTCTGATTTTTATTAAATCGAAAAAACCACCCGTAACCAAACAAATTCAAACTTAGGAGTATTACAAAAATAGCAGTCTTTTTAACATGATAGTTTCTTCCATATCAGAGGTACAGAAAAATTTTAAAATTGTACTTGCTTTCGATTTTTTTCCCAACGAAATAGCAAAGTTTGAATTTGACCGATTAAGGGTGGTTTTTTTTAAATATTACGGTGCTGGATCAGTTCTGATTTTGTTTTTGAGTTTGTGGAGCAAAAATACGTAAGTGTAAGGTTCTGTTTATTGAAAAAATTTGTTATTTAATTTTTTATCTCCTAAGTTTGAATTTGTCCGATTAAGGGTGGTTTATTTTATTTCAAAAAAGTTTAGATGGTGCTGGATCAGTTCTGGCTTTGTTTTTGAGTTAGTGGAGCAAAAATAAGGTAATGTGTAAGGTTCTCTTTATTAAAAAAATCTATTATTTAATTTCATTTCCTAAGTTTGAATTTGTCCCATTAAGGGTGGTTTTTTCGATTTAAGAAAAATTCACATGGTGCTGGATCAGTTCTAGCTTTGTTTTTGTGTTAGTGGAGCAAAAATACGCAGGTGTAATGTTCTGTTTGATAAAAAAATCTGTTATTTATTTTTTTATCTTCCAAGTTTGAATTTGTTTGGTGACGGGTGGTTTTTTCGATTTAATAAAAATCAGAGGGTGGAAGATCAGTTCTGGTTTTATTTTTAATTTAGTGGAGCAAAACTAAAGTAATTTGTATGCTTCTGTTTATTAAAAAATTCTGTTATATAATTTTTTTACCTCTTAATTTTGAATTTGTCCGATTAAGGGTGCTTTTTCCAATTAAAAAAAATCAAAAGGGTGCTGTATCAGTTCTGGTTTTCTTTTTGTGTTATTCTAGCAAAAATACGTGGGTGTAAGTTTCTTTTTATTATAAAATCTGTTATTTAATTTTTTTATCCCCTTAGTTTGAATTTGTCCTATTAAGGGTGGTTTATTTTATTTAAAAAAAGTTTAGATGGTGCTGGATCAGTTCTGGCTTTGGTTTTGAGTTAGTGGAGCCAAAATAAGTAGGTGTAATGTTCTGTTTAATAAAAAAATTTGTTATTTAGTTTTTTATCTTCCAAGTTTGAAATTGTCCGGTGAAGGGTGGTTTTTTTCGACTTAATTAAAATCAGAGGGTGATGGAGCAATTCTGGCTTCTAATTCGTTTTCTGCGTGCCAAAATACTATAGAAATGGTATGTATTGTTCAAGAAACAGACAACTTTTTTTGTGTGCCTGTGTAATGCATAGTTTCAATCCTTTTTTCAACATTATTTATTACATTATTTTAATTTTTAACGTTTTGGTTTCTATTGTTGTTTCAGTTTGCACGTTCAGATCCGTATAAAGAAAACGCCTACATACAAACACCAATTAATATAAAAAATGAGTTAGAAAAAATTGGACTATTCTGAAGTGTAATATCATGGCTAAACTACTCATTATGATGACATATTTTTTCCAACGCTTAAAAAATCAAAATTTTTTTAAAAACATCCGTTTAAAATAAAAATTAAATTGTCGACTTAACAATGTTTTACTTCATAAAGATCATTGAATAAGTGTATTATTTAAACTTTAAACTCTTAGATAGAAAGAAAAAAGGCGTTACAGTTCGACAGTAAGAATTTGCTATTGGTTTAGGGAGGAGCCAAGGTACGTTTTATGTTGTTTCGGGCGATCATTGATTGCGTCCTTATAGGGAAGTTGTATACCCCTACTCTACCGGCCGGAACATAAATTCGGAGCTTGAGGGACGCAAGCACCGAGGGATCCTGAGCGGCGTTCTTGGCCCTTAATGAGTTTTTCACGAAAATTATAAAATTTTTAAATATTGACATTTTTAATTCGAACAACAACTCCCGAAATACAACACAATAACAATTGATTAGTTTCAGTAGTAATTAAGCAATAATTGAGTTTACGAATTATGACTATACTTAATATAAATAATAATATTATGAATAATAATTATATTACAACTATTAATATTATTACAATCGCAATATTAAAAAAAATAACACCTACATTGACAGGCAAACAACTCACTCTATAATTATTAATTAAAGTTTATTAAAAGCTTAATTTAAATAAATTTTTCCACAAATTAACTTTTTAAATACTTATTTATCAATTTCAATAATTTATTTCATCATATTTCATTAATTTATTATATTTGGCCTCGGACCGCACTAGACCGAGTTGGGACTGAACTCGGTCCAAACACAGTCCACACAATCCGCCAGGGTTTAAGAAAAGATTTTTTATGCAAGTTATTTTAATAAAAGAAAAATGTCAAATTCAGAAAGAAAAGGTTGCTTAAGTGCTTTAGATTTTAGCATTATAGATACTGAAGGAGAAATGTTAAGTGATAATCAAAATGAATTTGCACAACTATTGCAAAGAGTACCACAATCAGTTTTTGATATGCAAAACTCTTTCTATTTGAAAATTCTTGATTTAGTTATTCCGATTAACAGAAATCAAAAGCATATTTGAATACTTTTTAGTGGCTCTTGTAGTCTTGGTCATTGGATTTGCACTTATTATGATGGATTAAGACTTTATATTTATGATAGTCTTAATGAAGGTTGTTTAAATGAGGATCAAATAAAATATTTAGAAAGATTATATCGCTTTAAACCAACCGTAGTTTTTGCAAAAGTTCATCAACAACCGAATGGTGTTGATTGTGGAATATTTGCAATAGCGTTTGCAACATCTTTATATTTTAATATAATGCCGAATACTCTTGATTACGTTCACAGCAGAATGAGGCAGCATTTAAGCTTAATGTTTAAAAAGAATTGTTTATTTCCTTTTCCTACAAAAATAACGTCTGAAACTAGAAACTTAATTATTGAAAGCGATTTTGTATTGTCCACAGCGAAGAATTGAAGATCAAAAATCCGAATTTTACCCTTTTTCCTAAAACGATGGAGCAATTAGCTTTAAAATTTCCACGGTACATAGAAAATAAACAAAAAAGATCTTATACTTTCAAAGATAAAGAAAGAAAAAAAGGCTAGGTTTCAGGAAACAATAGAACAAAAAAAAGAAACACAAGAAAAGGATAGGCAGAGAAAACGTAATCGACAAGAAACAGAAATAGAAAAGAAAAAGCGTCAAAACAGAAATTTGCTATGTAAGAAAAATTATTAGAAACAGAAATTGAAAAAAGCAGCGTCTAGAAAACGATTTAAAATGAAAATATGATAAAATTATAACAGAAACAGAAAGTGGAAAAAAAGAGCGCCAACGAAGAAAATTAGAAAGTAAGAATAAAAAATTGCGTTTAGAAACAGAAATCGAAAAAAAGCAGCGTCTAGAAAATGAGTTACTGCGTAAAAATGTAAAAATTTTGACAGAAACAGAGGTTTAAAAAAAAGAGCGCCAACAAAGGAATGTAGTATGTAAGAATATTAAATTTTTATTGGAAACGAAGGTTAATAAAAAAGAGCGTCAAGAAAAAGATTTAACCAATAAATAAATAAAAAGAATACTAAACAGTTAGAAACATTAGGAACTGCAATTATATCTTTAAATGAATTTGATGAAAAAAATATTTCTAAAATTATTTGGGTGAAAGGTCTTTAGATAATAATTTTAATAGCTGTCGTCACAAAGAGAAAGTAAAGTTAAATGACTTAACTCCTTATCCTGAGTATTTAACCAATTTATTATGTGACTCTACCTCTGTGGGTAAAAATTATAAAGAAAATATTCGTTCGTATAACAGTTCATTTGCTTTTGCTAGCATGGGAGCGAAATTAGAAGTTCCAAAAGGAAAAGGTCCGTATGTTTTCTGCATTCATGGACAAGTATATCATTGTACATACTCTATTCATCCAAATGATGACGATAGTCGAAAATATGGTCAATTGTATATAATTGATTCAAATGCAGCTGTAAAAGAAAGATTAAATAACGAATATGTTTGATGAAATTATTATTGGAAATTGATATTTTACTTAGGGATATTAATCCATATGCTAAAGCATTTAAAATGATGCGAGATTTTTAGATTAAAGAAGAAGAACAAGCTAAATCATCAACTAAGTCTGTAAGAAATATTGAAATGTGGATTAAACGCGATAGGTTATTAGATCAAACAAAGTTTAATGTTCCATCTTGTAATGAAGTATCAATTGTATTTGTTAGCGAAGATGGTGAATCTCCTATTGAACGCGATATATGTATACATCCTAAAGATTCCAAAAGTATTCCAATTTCCAGACTCAGTGCGAATGTTGACCCTATGACTTATCCTTTAATGTTTCCTTCAGATGATCAAGGATGCACTGTAAACATAAAACAAACTCAACCCTGTGGGCAAAAAACCATGTTCGTTCTAAAAACGTTTTAAGGACGTTTCATGTCTGCCAAATAATGTTCTGGAACATTTTAAGAACATGGATGTTCAAATAATGTTCCAGAACATTATTTGGTGGACATGAAACGTTCTAAAAACGTTTTTAAAACGTTTTTAGAACGAACATGGTTTTTTGCCCACAGGGAAGGCATTCTCAATATTACTGCCTTTCAATATTACATGTTTCGTCTTTCATATAGAGGAGCATTTAATCCATGTTTAGCATTACGGAAATTAACTCAGCAATATGTAGTTGATGTCTGGTCGAAAGTAGAGGGCGAGCTTTTAAAATATATTCGTTTACAACAAAAAAAGCTTCGAGCAAAGTTGTATATGGATTCATGGATTTTTTTAATAATAAATCAAAAGAAGAGAATGTTAGACCAGGAAAAATGATCATTTTACCTTCAACATTTACTGGAAAAATTAAGCAAAATTGGAATTTTTCCATCGGCCATCACACTTTCAACGCCACATATTATAGGTTTAGGGGTACAGAACCCTCCGTTATAATGCGAGTGTAACTCAAATTTGTCCGATTTTTTTACTCTAATATACATAAATGTTAATCTTATCCCAATACCAATGAGTTTGTTTGATCTTGCTCCAAAAATCGACGTTACTAACATCATTACATCACAAGGTAAAATGTCTAACAAATTAAGAAGTGTCTATGACTCGTATAAAATCAAGCTGCTCAATAAGAAAGCAGCAGCTCGCTTTCATACAAGTACTACAGATCCCAATATACTGCTCTTCTACGTATAAGAAAGTGCTATTTGACGTGTAATATTTTTTGTAATAAAGGGTAATACTCAGTAATACATGTGTAATACTTTGTAATACAGTAATATTTTGGTAGTAGTATGTAATACTTGTAAAAAGTGTAATACTAAGGTAATAATGGTAATATGTGTAGTTGTAATCAAGTGAGTAGTAAGAGTAATCTATGGATGATTGCGTATTTAAAATATTTTAAGAATTATATTTTTAAAATTTTGAAAAAAACATGTTCCTACCTATTTAAACGTGTCGAGACTTGTTTTTGTGACGTCATATAATGAAAATATCTTAATGAGGTAGATAGAGTATACTGCGCATGTGCAATGATACTTAATCTCTTTTACCGACCAAACACTGAAGTTAGTTTGCCTTCCACCCATTTTCTGTGTCCCCGACTTTGTTTTTATTATATATTTTTTCAAAATAATTTAAAACTTTTTTATTGACCTAGTTTACCAACAACCCAATAGATGGCGTTCTCATCAATCAGTATAATTTTAATAATTTTCTTAAATATTTGTTTATTTTAAATATATAACATGTAGCCGTGTATGGTAACTGTCTGGTCGGTAATTAAGATTTCTACTTTATCAGCAGTGGGTAATGTAGAAATCTGACATAAATTTTACCTCGAGTGATTAGGTAGGAAACTGTTTAACTGACCGAACATTAAAGATAGTTCCCTAACCACCAAAGAGATGGCGCTCACGTCATTATAATATAAGTTACAAGTTTTTTATTTAAAGCTGTTGTATTTTTAAATTAATTTTTTTATAAAAAATGTTTAAAGTCAGTTGTTTTTATTTATTTCTTTAAAATATATATATTCTTAAAAATTAACTCAAACTAATCATAAAATGTTTTTTAAAATTAATTGTAACCTAACCTCAAATATAAAATTACAATTATTCTTAACTTTATAGTTAATCTTAAATTACAAACTAAAAGTAATCTTAAATCTAAACTTAACCAAAAATAATAACAGAAATATTAGATTATTTTCTTTATTATAGAAAAATTTTATTACATAAATTTATACAAAATTAAACTTGTTTTAATTTAAATTCAATATGATTATATGGACCACCAATATACTTGAGGCGTAATTGTCCAGCATCAATAGCTTCTTGTATTTGATCGAAGCATATGGAGTTGTCAGCAAACATAGGTACAAATCGTGAAGGTAAGAAATTATTAAATTTTCCATACACTTCAACGACTACCTTTTCTCCATATTTTGTGTTGACAAACTAGATTTTGGTAATAGGATACTTATGTCCAGGAGTCAACTCTGAAAGCGGTTTCGTGGGCAGGAAACCCTCCATACGACCAACAGCATTTATTTT